CTGTAGCAGATCTGAGCAAGCAGTGCGCCCTTTCCAACAGAAATTCCTTCATAGTTAAACTACAGTTTAAAGAGCTATTAACTTTAAGGCTTATCTTTTAAGGCTGATGATGTTGCATTACTTTGGGAGAAAGGTGCATATGTCTGTTCTAAAATTCTGTGGTTCCTGAAATGAACCTGAAAAAGTTTAATGGGATTGAATCACGCTACTGTGAGCCTATTAAATTGCAGTTTCTGTTGTAAAGAATCAACCTTTTCCCCTCCCAAGTCATTAAGTGAAAGCTTCTGTAATGTTTGAAAGTTTCAGCTAATACTTAAAACTTTGAAAATAGAATGCAAAAATACTTTATTCAATATTGATAGTAATTAAGGAAAATAAAGATATATATGAACACAAAGCCAGCAGTATCAAAAAGAGGTTCACATCCATGGAATCATAGAATGGTTTGGGTTGGAAGGGGCCTTACAGACCATCTAGTTCCAAACCTGTGCCATACGCAGCGACACCTTCTTCTAGACTAGGTTACTCAAAGCCTGGTCCAGTCTGGACTTGAACACTGCCAGGGATGGGACATGCACAACTTCTCTGGGCAGCCTGTGCCAGTGTCTCACCACCCTCACAATGAAGAGGAAATAGAAGCTGTGGAGATGACTGGGTACTGGAACGTGACTGGGTACTGGAATGTGAACCAAAAAGTAAGCAAGGGGAAGAGGAACAGACACTCTGAGCAGTTAGAACAGAGAAGCCTTTAATTATCAGCTGCTCATTAAGCAGGTTTGTAAGATTCTTTCAAGGTTAGAATATCAAATTTGCAGAAACAGAACACCTGCTGGGCCCAGACAATAAGCAACTCTGAGATACTTTTCGGCACAATTCCTTATTTGGATTCCTATTTATCCTGTTCTGGATATCCTCTGGATTCCTATTTAAGATCACATTGAAACAAGAGCAACAAATAGGTTTGTTCTTCTCTTACATTAGTAGTCTTTTGCCTCGATTTTTCTCATCTAAGCACTGCAAAATTCAGTTTGTCTTTGCTGCCTGGATAGGCACAGGGACATGGAATGTTAATGCACAGACCATAAATATGCTGCATAGGAGTATAAGGAGAATTTTTCTGCAAGCCATTCAATTCTATCAACTTTTTTTCTTTCATGTCTGCTTTCAGCAGTGGTGTCTGTTACTCCAGTGACCCATTCTCTTTTAATTACAAATACGTATTCAAAATGTAGGCAAGATGAAACAGGTGTTTGTCAAATCCCAAGCCTGACCGTGTAAACTGACCTTTCTGCACTATCTTTCTACTAATACTAATTCTTGTTAAAAATGAAAACCTAGAACACATGACAGCAGAACAATACAGAAGCAACAGTCACATGAAATAGCTCCTGCACTTGCAGTTTCCTCAAACATATTGAAGGTCGCCATCTACTGTTGGCATCACTAAGTCTGTCAGTACATGCTTTGCTCGGTAACAGGCAATACTCCTTTACATCACTACCAAATGAATGAGTATCTACCAGCTGTCAGTGATTTCTATGAAATCAACCTGAAAGATAAAATCACTAATATCCTATTCCCATAGCCTAAAGCAGCAGGTCTACAAGAGATGAGTTTTGACCAGTTATCAGCGTGCCATGGAGTGTATACCTTAATGGTTGTATAATTTCTTAATTCTTGCCAGACCCATTTCATTATTTCAGCTTAAAAATTAGTCACTTTTAGGCTGGGCAGAGTCTGGATTGACAGCAGCCCTGAGGAGAAGGACTTGGGGTGGTGACTAGCAAAAAGCTCAACAGTGTGCACTTGCAACCCAGAAAGCCAACTGTATGCTGGGGTGCATAAAATGGAGGGAGGTGATTCTTCCCTGTGAGGGTGGGTGAGGTGCTGGCACAGGTTGCCCAGAGAAGCTGTGGCTGCCCCTGGCAGTGTTCAAGGCCAGGCTGGACAGAACTTGGAGCAACTTAGTGGGAGGTGTCCCTGCCTATGGCAGGGGGTTTGGAACTGAATGAGGTTCAAGGTCCCTTCCAACCCAAGCCATTCTGTGATTCTGTGACACTGCTGGAGGTAATGTTCTTTTCTCTTTACAGCTGCAACTGCCATGTACTTCCTCTCTCTTATGCTCCTTATAGGGAAGAAAAAATTCAATGTAAGCAGGCTGCAGAGGACAATCAGCTACAGAATACACCTTGTTCTTTGGAAAGTAAACACAAGAAGCCTAGAACAGCACATCCCCTGCATACCAAGGCATTTGGGTTTTAGTGGAGACGCTAAAACTGCAAGAAACTGCAAGAACTGCACTCATTGCATTGTATCTCCTATCATTTGCTTGCTGCCTTCTAGCTACAACACACAGAGTATCAGTGCAACTGGAAGAGGGTTACTGACAATGCATTTGCTGCTGTCCTTGCATATGGCCCTGCCCACAGCAGCCACAGGCAATTGTTTTAAAGAAAGGAGTTCTGATGACACTGACATGCTGACTGGGAAAAAGAGACAGGATACAGGCATTTAAATTTCTCGTTTACTCAGTCAATGAAGCCATGTCACAACCCCCAGAGATATGCAATATAGACATCTTGGAGGCTTATTAAAAAGAAACAGAATCGCTGGAACCTGACACAGAGCTGAGAGATATCACTGCGCTACCTCACTCCTGTGTGAGGTATTTAGATCCTAGTATGGTGCCTGTTACTGATTTCACAGAGAAGATTGTATGGATCACTGTGGTTCTATCTGGTTCTGATTAAAATTAAAGTGATTATTGCAAGAAATTCCACAAGTAGCAAGTAAGTCTTCATTAAAAAAATTGGAATGATAAGGGCGTAGTAAATAAACTTACTTTTGGCAAGTCAGATCACTTGCGACTTATGAACAAGCCTCTCCTCTTTGGAAAAATACCTCAGGAAGTCAGTCTATAATCACAGCTGTGGCTGGGTTCGTTTGTTCTGCTGTCATCTAAGAACTCAAAATTCTACCACTCCTGCTCATTCAAAGGTGTAGGGGAGAAGAAAAACACTATACATGCTCTCACAGCCGTAAAACCTAAATAATTTATTCAGATAAACCTTAAGAACTCTCTCAGGCACCACAATATATTAGTGGCAAGTGCCACAAGATGGTCTTTCATCACTTCAAAACAGTGTATGATTGACAATAAACTCAGAAATAAATACTATCAGGATTAAGAACTGCATTTAACTTGTATATAGTTTTGAAAAAAAAATAAAAACACCCAAACCCCTTTGGACTGCTAAGAAACAATCTTTGACAACTGTCATAATTAAAAACATTACTGGCTGAAGTAACACAATTCAGCAGTGTATTTTCATCATAACTGTGCATCTTGAAGTCTTAGTATCCACTTCTGTGGAAGTATTAGTATCTTCCACAGACGTTTGTGATGATACCACAGAACACAATAAAAACAGCGACTTGGTTTCAGTTCCTGTTTTCCTGGTAACAATATTAAATGATTTTTTAAATTTAGCTTTAATACAGGTATCCACTATTGGTTTTCAGAGATCTCATCACAGGATATTAACCTTCTGGGGAGAGGGATATGTTTTCCTCAGGATTCATGCTTTTTTGTTGGTTTATCAAAGTAAGGAGTGTTGTCTTGTAGCAGATCTTTCCTGGGTACGAGCACTGTAACAGAAAAAAATCCCTCTAAGAATATAATCTTATGGAAAATACTATTTAAAATTTGAAAGTTGTTTTTACATTTACAAACAAAAATCAGGTTACTACAATAAGAATCTGAACTTCTGGAAATGTATACCGAGCAGCATCATGGGATCTACCCAAGACAAAATTATATTGAAATTTCTACCTTCTGTTGGTCAGAATATTGCCTTCCCCTTTTTCTTTTTAGAGCACTGAAAATATTTTAATACCGTTAAGAAAACATAAAAAATGATACAGTGTTGCAGTAGCTTTTAGTGAGAGAGGTAATGGCAGTTTTATCATGCCCAAGTCAGAATATGTGTGCTCCAACAGTTCCAGAAATGAATACTAAATTTGACTTAGCCCTCTCCCCCAAAGTCCTGGAATCTGATCTGTAATATTCACCTTGCCCTACCTGTTTTAGAGAACAACAACAAAAGAAAGTACCAAATGAAAATTACGGCCACTGTGTCGTCACACAGGTGTGGTGTGTTAAGGTTTGCCTAATTATATGCCATTCTAACCTCTTCCTGAATCTTAAGTTCTTGCCTTCTAGCTCTTCAGAAATCAGCTTTCCTTCCTCAGGAAGGGGAGGAGGTGTGTCATGTCTGATTTGCTCCAGCAGCAAAAATTAAAACACGAACACCTGAAATCCTAATGTTGTAATTTGACTGTGTCAGATGGCTGTGAAAGGTACAGTAAACCTGTAAAACTCTGTGTGTTTGTGCGGATGTGTGTGCAACGAGTAACATTCTGATCAAAGTGCACTGATATCCCACACCTTCTAAGAAAGAAAACTGATTTCTTTAAAGGCATGCTCCTTGCGCATCTGTGTACTAATACTGATGCATTTGATAAGTTTCTAAGAGCTTTAAGTAAAATTTCAATTGCATTTCTTTTACATCTGAGTAAATTTATAACAAAACGTCAACCTACACAACTAGAATAGGTACTCAAAACATAAATGCCAAAGAAAAACAGAACTGGATATAAAATACTGGAAGACAGAAGTCCAAAGAAAGACTGAAATAAGAATTTTTAACTTTCCTTTTCAAAGCTAAGTTTCAAACATACACTGGCAACACACCAAATCAAAATCACCAGGACATACTGCATGTGTGGTATATTACTAAATTGAAATCTCTTCTTGCATCACCCTAATCCAAAATGAAAATGAAATTCATAGAACAGAGGTACTTCTATACTACCAAGTAACTCACACTGAAACCTTTAAAAAAACAAAAGTAATTATTTGACTAACAAGCTCCTAATTGAAATTGTCTTCTCTTTAGTAAGAAAACTTCAGCTGATTTTCTTTGTCAAAGGCCTACACTATTATGTCTCATATTCTTTTTAAAGAATATCATTGGCTTGTGCACTGCTTCTATGACACCACAGAATAATTTCATTTAATTAGGAAAAATGTTTGCCTTACTAGTATTTGCTCTAAGACAAGTCCTTGGCTTTTTATTTCTGGTTATTAGTTATTTTGGAGATGCACGATTGAAAAAAAAGAAAAAAACAGTGGTAGCTAAATTGTATATTGTCAGCTATAATAAAAAATTTAGAGCCAAAAGATCGACAGTAACTCACTTAAGGAGTGAGTCGCAACAGCTTTCTGAAGCACTTTACCTAGTTTCTTTTTCCCCTGCTCCTTCATACAACATAGCAACTGATTCATCCCAAACCATTGTCCTCCCAAACCTAAAAGAAGCCTGAAGCAAGGACATTACACTAATTTAAATACAGCCCAAATGTAAGTATCTTACACTTTTTTCAAAATAGGCCACTAGATTTTCTACTACAGCAAAGTAAACCTTCACTTACAAAGTTTCCAAAACAAACACATAGCACCTGAGATGAAGAATAATAACAAGTAAACGTTCAACTGAGGTTGCTTATTTTTATTTGCCAACAAGCAGCAACTCAAGCAGCCACCTTAGGGTTGTACTTCTACTTTTTTTTTTAAATAAATCTGTCCCAAGCCTTTCATATGGTGATGATACCATAAAAGCAATGATACCATAAAAGATGATACCATAAAAGCAGTGATGGAGCTAACTGTAACTACTGGCACTTTAAAAGTTACCACAGAGTATTAAGGATCAAGAAGGTTGATTTTTGTTCTGCTAAAACTTCCTTAATCAAAGCTGTACTGAAATTGAATACCTAAGCAGACTCATATACCTACACATGCATTTCCTACAACAAAATTCCCAACAGAAACTGGCTCCTAGGTGCTAAAAAGTAAAGGAAAATGAGAGGATCCACTTGATTATTTTCATTATATAAATGCACAGACATGTGGAAGGGACACAGCCAGGACAGCTGACTGCAGCTGACTGAAGGGATATTCCACACCATTTGACATCTTGCTCAGCAATATAAACTGGTATAAGAAAGATGGGGAGACATTTGCAGTGATGGCATTTTTCTTCCCAAGTCAGTCACCGTTACACATGATGGAGCTCTGCGTTCCTGGAGATGGCTGAACAATGCCCGCCCATGGAAAGAAGTGAGTGAATTCCTTGTTTTGCTCTGCTTTCCTGTGTGGCTTTTGCTTTACCTGTTAAACTGTTTTCATTTTAGCCCATGAGTTTTCTCACTTTTAGTCTCCCAATTCGCTCTCCAGTTCTGGCTGTGCAGGGCTTAGCTGCCAGCTGGGATTAACCCATGAAAACATTCAGCCATAGATTCAACTGGAAGTTGAAATCCCACTTCCAACTTTTTTCCTCTTTTTAATCTTAAAAACAACTTTTCTTTACAAACAAGAAAGGATGAAAAACAGTAAGGCAAGATATTCAGCAAAATGGAGTAGCAGTGGAAAGCACACCTATTTATTTTTTATTTTTTAGATACATATACGTAATATATTAATTTAGTTACATATACAGAATATTATTTATTTTTTAGGTACAATTTCACACAGTAAACTGACCATGCTATTAACTATAAACTGCTATTAAAATATAGTGACAACTACCTCAACTCCCTAAAATTCTGAATTTCTGGAATTTTCTAATGGCATACTCTGTGCTACCAGCGACATTAATAAGAGCTATACCAGAATTGCTTAGTTCTTAGTGCTGTCTAATCAAAGCTGAATTCTTAGGAAAGATGCAAAAACTATAGGAGGCTGCTCAAAGAGTAACACTTCAGAATAATGTTATGTTACTAATCAATTTACCATGGTGGAAAGGTCTGTATATTCCTTCTGTAAGGAGATTCTCTTTTACTCTTTTACTACAGTATCAAGCTAAGCATCAAATTTGATTTTCTGCTTTTTTTTGTATTTTTAGTACCTTGCTCCTGGCCACTAAGATTTCTCATTGCTGTGACCTTTAAGAATTATTTATTGTGTAAATAAAAAATGACTTTTTTTTCTTGCATTAGCTTTGCATGTAAATTTCAACTTCATTGAACGCTCTTTGCATTTTAATAATAACAGGACAAGTAAGAATCCATTCTATCCATTTTTTATACTGTTCACTCTTATTCTATGAACTTCTACCATGATGCTCTGGATTTATTTTTCTAAGGATTCCTGACCCTTTAATTGGTGATTCACTATATTATCAAGACTAAGTATTTCTCACTTCAATATAAATTCCAAACATACACAAACCAGACATCTCTCAAATTGTGATGGCTGTTTCCAGAGCATTGTTATGCTCTTGCTGCAGTAAGATCAATTGCAGAGTGAGAAGCAAAGCTAAGACTTATTCAAAATGGACACAGAAAAAAAAAAAGGATGGGCAAAACACTGCATAATGACATCCTCTGCATTCGTAAGTAGGTCAAATGCACCCTTGTATAGATGCGCTCCAGATTTTTTGCTGCAGGACATTTTCCTGGCCAGTACTGCACTCTGAATGAACTCCTTCTTCCCCAAAAACCTCTTTGCCAGAAGTCTGTAAAATTAGGCAGGGGCAATTCTATCCTTTTTTGTTTATGGGTATTTAAAAGGAGACAACATTAAAACTCTGTTACTGTCAAAACAGACAATCAGCAATACTCTGCGCCTTTGTCTGCTGAGTCAAGTAATTTCACTGTAAAAGGGTATCAGGCTGGTCAGAGAAGATCTCACCTTTGTAAATCCTTGCTATTCTACTCCCCATTCCCATTCTGTTCTTAGAACATTTGGAAGCAGCTTCCAGGTATTTCTTAAGGACCTTTCCAGAGATCGAGGTGAGGCTGACCAGTTTCCTAGATCCTCCCTCTCGACTTTCTTGAAGAGAGACATTTGCTTTCTTCCAGACCTCAGGCAACTCCCCTAATCACCATGACATTTCAAAGATGGCTTGAGAGTGGCCTTGCACTGTGTCACGTCAGGTCCCATGAATTTGTCTATGCCCTCTGTGTTCAAATATTCCTTGCCTTTTCCTCATCTACCAAAAGTAAGTCATTCTTGCTCCAGTGGTCTCAGGCCCATGATTTGTGAAGGCAAACCTTTGCAGTAAAGGCTGAGGTGAAAGTAGGAGCACCTCAGACTCTTCTGTGTCCCTCATTACCAGTTTCCCTGACCTATTCAGCTGTGGGCTCACATTTTCCCTCCTCTCCCTTCTGATGCCGACATACCTATAGAAGTTGTTCTTGCTGTCATTCACCTTCCTTGCCCAGATCAGCTCTAGGTGGGCTCTGGCTGGGCTCCTAACCCCATCCCTACACACTGACAAAAAGATAAATTAATATTTGAACACAAATTCATGTGACTTTTGCCAAGGAAGTTATGCCTCACAGTTCTTGATGGTGTTATTTGAACAGCTCTTGAGGGGCTGCCCAGGAGCTGCCCAACATGCTTGGATTCCCCAAGTCCCTCCGGGCATGTTTCTAAGAAAGCAACAGCCTTACTGTCACAGAAAGTCTTGCAAGTCACTGTTTAAACTGGAGGAGGTGAACAATAAATGAACAGGTCTCCCAACGGAGGGATGTCAAAAGTGGAGTTCTACAGGTACTTTTTGTCATCTGTGCTGTTCAAGGTATTTGTAAGTAACCTGGAAAAGGATGTTTTCTAATGATACTATCCTGAGTAAGTTCTTTAACAAAATGGCTTACTGTGAAGAACTGCAGGATAAGAGTTAGACTTAACAACATAACCCATAAAATGACAGACAAAATTACATGTAGAGACATGTAATGCATACAAGTGAAAAAAAAAAAAAAAAATCACCAACAAACCAACAAACCTAATTTTACAAAGAAAGTGACAAATTCAAAAATTAACTATAACCATTCAGATGAGTTTAGCGAATACAGGATTAATTTTGTAAAAATAAATAAATGTATGTATGCACAGCAGCCAAAAATGAAATTTAGAATTAGGAATGACTAGGAAACCAGTGGAGAATGAAACAGAAAACATCACTGTGCCATAAGTGTGTATATAAATGCCTGGTTTGCCCAGAGCTTGATGACGGTGCTCAGCTCTGATTGAGAGAGCAAGCTCCTAATCATCTTAAGGGAGGTACAGCAGAATTGAAAAGGGTGCAGAGAACAGCAACAGAATGACCACAAGCATTCACTTGTTCCAGAGACGCTGTTCCATGGGGGGGGGTAAAAAAAACAAAAAGGGGGCAATAAGGGGCTTAAAAACTCATGCTTGCTGAAAACGGATAGCAATTAAAGAGTAGGGTCAAATTCAAAACTACAGCAAGTGACTTCATAAAAAAAAGTGTAAATTCTTTGTGAAAGGTTCTTGGATGCAAGAAATTTGCACAGGTTGACAGAAGAAAGTTCATGAGAGAAACCCACTAAGGACAACTAGAACAGAAACCATTCCTGATGCATGAAGTGCTTCCATGTGTAAACAGCTGAAAGATGTAAAGTTTCACTTGCTCTGTTCCTCTCTTCTGCTGTCATCTGCCTAGGATCACTGTGGAAGACTCAACACTGGTCTAGCTAGATGAATCTTTAGTCTCGATCATAACGGCTGTTCTAAAGTTAAGTGCTTTATCAAATCTAAAACTGAAACAGTCACAGAGCTTTACAGACACCACTGAACAGAAGTGACATGAAAACAATGTACACAGATGAAGATTTCTTCTATCCTCTACCACACAGTTGTACGCTGAACTTACTGCTTCTCTTATGTTCGACAAGATAAAATAACTTCTAAACCAGGAATTGTAATTTCAGAATTTGAATTGTCAGAACAAGGTTTTGGAAAAGAACATTCAACCCTCAAAAAACCCTCCATGCTGTTCTATGGACAGTGTACATACTGCACTGGCTGATTTTCCTCAAAGAGCTTCTACCTGTTTGATAAAGCAAGCACCTACAGATACTGTGGGCACTACATCTAGATATACACTGACTGACTAGCCAGTACATGCATGCTGACCAGCTACATAACTGCTGTCACTCTTAATAGTTAAGGTGCCAAGTTAGAACTTCTTTCTCTCAATGAGGGCACTAAACGTAGTCACTGCCTCTTTCCTAGCAGCCTCTGTATCAAAATATTTGTGTAGAAACTGTGCCTTTGAAACCTCCACCAGGTAGAGACATTAGTCAACAGGCTTAAATTAATGGTTTGGGCAGAGAAATGACAGACAGACAGGCTTTTGCCCTCCCTATCCCTTCACTTAGTTTTCAAGTTCTCTATTTATTTGCTGAACTACAATGTTTTCAAACAACTTTTTAGCACACAGCTTTACTCACCTATTCTGTTGGAATCCGTGTGAACAGCCTGAATAACAGAAGTTCGAAGAATCACTTCAACATCTGAAGCTATTTTCAGAAGCTAGTAAAAGGGAAAAACAAAACAACAAACAATACAGAGTAATTTAACTGATATGTAATTATTTCTGAAAATGTTTTCCATACTAGACAGCTATTCATACAACAAAGCCAGTCAATTATATTATTCAGTTAGTTATGCACTACCTATACACAGCTTTTACTTTGGGGATCCTAGAATAACTTGTAAGTTGATATATAAGCTACCCTGACATACAGCACGAGAGAGGAAGAACGCTTCTGCTCTGTAACATACAGCAGTGTAAATTCTATTTACCAAATTAAAACTGCAAATGAATAAGGTAGAATGCAAGTACCAAAGAAAGTAACTAGTTTCCAGGGATCAAAGACATCAGTGAATGCCTCTGTAATACCTGACCAACCCTAGTGAAAGTGCAACCTACTTCTATTAACATTCCAGCTATTGAAATAAGGGCAAATTAGGGCAAAACATGACAGGAATTAAGAATACTGGGTTTTGCAGAGAAGTAGCATGGGAACAAGACATTACCTAAAGATTAGCAGTGGCATTTCCAACCCTAACTATTCTATGATTCTATTTGGCAAAAGACCTAAAGTTCTTTCCCTCATTAAGAAGATAAGCAGTAGCACCCTAGCGAGTTTATTTTTGAATGATTAAGAGAAGTCTAATATTTGTTTGCGTGATACCTGCATCAGTAAAAACTGAAATTGCACGAGTGAGACATTCTGGGAGACACAGTTACACTAGGAAGTGGCATGTATCAACAGAAATGGATCTTTGCAAAGGTTAGAGCTCACGACTGGACACCTAAACTGAGTTTCTTCACTCCACCTACCCCTTTTAAGAATTTGGACTAGCTAGCCTCCAGTTGCCCCTACTGAATATCCATCAGTAGTTAGGCTGTATGCTCTTGATTTTCCTGATTTCACTTCAGATTCACCTTAGAGGAATTCTGCCATTTCCTCTAAGACTGCTTCACAACACAAGCCAAATGCCAGGAATTAACTTCAGAGGCGCACTCCTGATCTGAATTAAACTGCTGTAGTCGGATCAGCTGCTACACCTCACATTTCAACAATACCGCAGACCAGTTACTCCTACCTCCTTAGGTCTACATACCTATTTGATGTCATATTAGACAGTGCAGCTTTCTGTTCTGGCAAACGAATGCATATTTGGTTGGTCAACATCCATTTTTTAGCTGCTGTCCAAAGCAGAATACTAACATCCCTGTTTTTATGCAAGCAAGCACCGAAATTCTCACAAGTCTAGTCTATTATTCAATTTTGTTCTTCTGCATCAGAGTCTATGTATTATATAAAGCTTCTATGATGTTCTAGAATTCTGTAGCTGTGATGGAAGTCCAGAAGTTCTTCCACTTGCACATTTAATCAAGATACCAGTTAACTCATATTAAAAAGTTACAAATGTGTATTTTGTTGGTTGCCATTCCTAACAAATATAGATCTAAAAACTACAGCAAGCACTTTTCCTGTAGACTTGTAACAAAAAGAACATACAATTTAACAGATCAGACACTGGGAACCCAAACACAAAAGTATCACTATAGGGGCCTGATGAGAAGCAGAAACACTAAAAGAGCCAACTAAATGCTCAGAACTATTTATGTTACTGCCCAGTGGCTCGTATGAGGCAAACATTTAGATTTACTTCTGCAAAGGACAGATGGAGGCACTTTCTTCCAACTAGTGCCCAATGACAATGTAAATACAGTCTATTAAAAGGCTGAATGTCACGGACTAAATTAATAACTGTGAATGGATGTTAAGAACTAAAATTATCTAAAAGACAAATTTCAATTCAGGTGTCAGTAAGTTTCAGAAAAATGACTCAACAAAAAGTGCTAAGATCATAATGGTGCAAAGAGAACTTACCTAGTGAGTTAACAGAACATTCTACTCCTTCTAATGTACCATGAGGAAAAAGCAACAAAAAAGCCCAATACCTCTCTATTACAATAGTCACAATCACTTGGTTGGTTTTTTGCCTCCCATGAAAGATGCCGCCTCATTTGTGATCAGGAGTCAAAATAATTTCTCATGCCTGCCAGTAACTGAGCAGATTATTAAATTTCTCTCTATCTTCCTGTGATTCCCTATACAACAAAGACTAGGTAAACTTAAGTGACCTTTACTGGCTCAGACAGATATTATGAGCAAAGCATACAAAATAGTCATGTGAAAATACATAAAACTTTTTTTTTCCTTAATTATAAGCATACTGAAATACCAGAAGACACTTTCTCATGCTGTGCTTTTATATGTACAAAACTCTGCAACATACTATTAATATAAATGGAGGTATCAATAAATTTCTAAACAAAGAACCACGTAAAAGCCTTTTCTGAACTCACCTGGCTCTCACAATGTCTCAAGAAGTACTTACACTGGTTTAGGGATCATGTAAGTATTCTTAAGCAAAGTGGAAAAAATCAACGAAACCAAGAAGTACCTCATTTATCTTCTCTTCAGATGTCTCATCTTGGTGATTTTTGAATTCTTCATTAATCTTTTGTCTTGCAGCTAAATAAAGTAAACAAACAAACAAACAAACAAAAAAGAGTGAACAAAAACTGTATCTTGTCTTAGTCACTACCTCAAAACTCACAATCCTAAATCCTTTATAGCACTTTCTGGGTGCACGCTGCCTGAATATTTTAAAATAAGTTTTCCACAGAATTCAGGTGATGTTATGCTTTAAGTTGACTGGTATTGGAATAAAATACGATTGCCTACCTAGCATTCTGAGCTTTAAAAACAGGAGACACTACTAAAAGCTGGTTTATTAAAAAAGCAGTATTTATCCCCTGAGGAGCAACCATACAGAAAGAGAATCAACTCAAATGCTTAGTACAGTTAAACATGCTTTGGCTGGACTCAAGAGAGGAATGTGAAAAAAAAAGACAAACAAAAAAAACCCAGGTAAAATAAAAAGCCCAGAAAGATCACCAAGGCTCCAAAAAAGAGATGGTTTCCTTATGAAATGTGGCATCAGTGCCTGAATCCAACAACTGTTTTTTTGTTTAAAATTAAAGGGTATCTAGGTATGGGCATACAAGTTTTCCCCACGATTAATTATAAAATATGAAAGGTATAACTTAAAGAAAGATTATGTTAAGAATTCTTTTCCTGTGAATTCAGAGAAGAAAGTTCCATGGAACGATAGGTAAGTGTGCACCACATGAAAAAGTTACTCACCTTCAAGGGCTCTCGTATCATTTTTAAAAACTTCTTGCCGGGTTCTGTGTAATGATTTAAAAAGTTTCAACACCTGTCAATACAACATCAATAGAATTAGCTTGTTTCCTAGCAGGATTCTTAGTTAAAATGAACATGTTGCAATTAAGGTGGTCTGGTTGACCACAGAGTCACAGAATGGTTTGGGCTGGAAGAATCCTTAAAGATCATCTAGTTCCAACCAATCTTTCATGTTCTTTCCATTTAGTACAGAATTAGATATGGAATTGGTATCCAAGATACTACTCCTCAATCTCTGATTACTTGTATTCAAAGCAGACATGAGGAAATACCCTAGACAGTTCTAGATGTTTCAAATTAAGCTAAGATGATAGAGTATTAGCACCACACTCCTAAATAATCATTTGCCATTACACAAATATAATCCTGCAAACACATTGACGCAAACATATTTATTGCGCCAATATCAAATAAACCCAACAGAAATCGGAGTAACTGTAAATGTCAAATAACCCAATTACAAAATATAAAAGCACAAATGCCTGAACTATTTTCACATTTACAAGCCAACATGAGAGAAGTACATTTCAAAAGGATCTAAAACCGTCTTTATAGAGACTTTTTATGTCTCTCTATAACACCTGGGCATAATCTTCCACAGGTAATGTGGCAAAAACAAAACAAAGCAAAGTCCCTAAATGTAAACTGCCAGATAAGCAAATAAAAATTTCCGTAAAAGCAAACATTAAAAAAAAAAAAAACTAGGATTTACAATGTAAAACTGACACGCATCACTATTTACATAAAGCAAAAGCCCCAAGAATCACAGCTCGTGGTTTTGGATGTTTATTCATTAGACTGTAATGAATTACAGAAATCCTCAAGTCCTTAACAGATTATTTTTGGAGTTTGCCAGAGACTGACAAGAATCCCTAACAAGCACCATAAAAAATAAAAAATTACTGATAACAAGGTACCTTTTGAAGTGTGTTTTGGCATATCTAGAAAGCACAATTCATGATAACCTTACATTGTTTTCTCACAATTAATATGCCAAAAATTTCTTAGAAGCATGCAGAGGAAACATACAGCTGTAACTGAGAAATGCCACCTTCTTTGTCAGCATGCTGTCAGCTGGAAATACAAACAAGACTGTCCTCTAAAAGGCCAGTAACATCCTGGCAGGGCCGTGAAAAGTGCTGCCTCTGCTTTAAATCTAGCAATGACAGAAACGGCAAGCTTCCCTGAAAGCTATTTCTCCCAACAGATGTAAGCACATATTTTAGGTTTTCAAGCTAAGTTCTCACCCTCTGCTCAGCTGGTCACTTGGCCACACCTTGAAATAATTCATCCAGAAGTGTACACGCACAGAAAGTGAGTTTTTAGGAAGAAGATGAAGGCACGAGAATAGGAAACTTTCCAGTTCAGTACTGCTTCTTTAACATAATGCTACCACAGCTTTAGTCTCAGTAAGGGACAACTTACAAACATGAACAAACTCCAACCTTGCTTCACCACATAGATTAGACCATGTCATAATATCTACTACAATTTATGATTTAGCATTGTGTTCAGTATATGCTACTGCATTACAGATCTTTCAGTGCATTCTCAATTGAGTTAAGGGTCTCATGAATGTTCAAGTGAAAAACTTTTGCCACTTCTAGAAGAATTAGTATGTAACTTGACAAGCAGTTAAATGAAGCTGAGGAGAGACATATGGAAGAGAACACAGAATCTGCTACCTCCTTTTCAGCTTGTGTCCTTGATAATTAGCAACTGAAGAGAATCGTGCTACCTCCTACTACAGCATTTCCTAAGTGGCTGAATCTGTAGTAAGACAACAGAATTAAAAGTCAGCAAACAATTTTCTTATTCTGTATATATATTTTAAGAGATTTGACTAAATTATTTGGACAGGATTTCTAACCCAGAATATTTTTGCCGTCTTTGTGAACTGTAAAGTTATTATCACAAATGGTTTTGAGTGCATGGTGAAACGTGAAGAAGTGGTTTATGGTTATTCTAAACCCTGATCAACTATTTTCAGGCATCTTCCTCTGCTACTTGCCTGTTTCTGCAAACCCCTCATATAAAGTTCTTCACCATACCAACCACAGAGATACATACATAAGATGACTTTGAAGCAGTATGTACTAATGTACTAATACTTTGAGGTCTACAGTCACCTAATGAAACACAGAACTTCCATAATACCTCAGTGTATTAGTCCTCCCAATACTAGGCTTCAGAACACGTCTGAAACAGGGGCTCAAGTGCCCCCAGAGGTACTCTAAGGTTGAAAGGTTCAAAGAATTCTGGTCTGCTTTTCTTCATTTTCCCTTCAGAATTTCATTCTCCTGACATATTTTAACCTCTACTTGATTGTCATCTCTCAACTTGTTTCCTTTTTCTACATCATCTTTTGCATACAAACCCCTTCTTTCTATTACCTAATCCTATGGCTTTCTTGCCCGGAAAGCCTCTGCTTTCTGAGGCTATAAATGCCAGGGGGAAAGTATTCCTACCCTCCGATGACATACTCTCTATATACGTAACCTGTGCATAGTCACTATTTACAGCCGAAGGCCGCAGATTTGCGGGGAACACCGCACGCCTCCCTGGAGCAGCGGCACTACCACCAGCTCCAGGCACCGCACGAAGGACAAACCCCCGCGATGGAGCCGGCTGTCGAGGGCAAGACCAGCGACTCTTCAGGGCACGAGTGACCCCGGCCTCACGCAGGGCGCCGGACAAACGGGCAAGAACAAAGTCGGCACCGCGAGCGCTTTAAGGAGGCAACGGAGGAGAAGGAGAGAAGTGGGAGGGAGGGAGCGAGCAGCCTGTACCACCACACCGGAGCAGGCCCTCCTCGTCCTTTTCCCATTGGCCCCGGCTCCACTTCCTCCGTGGCGATCCCCGAGCACCGGGAGCCGCGGGCAGGACGGGGCAGCACCGGCAGTGAACGGCCACCCCCGGACGAAGCCCCTGGCCGCGCATGCGCGCCGCGCTCACCTGCCGCCTGCTAGCCATGGCGACCGCCGTCCTGTTCCGGTCCGGACGAGCAGGGGAGAGGTGGGAGCGGAAGTGACGACCAAACAAGTGGCGCGTCCGCGCGTTGCGAGTGGTGGTCGTCGTCGCCATATTCCGGGCCGCTGATGCAGCCCGCGCCAGCCCCGGCTGCCGGAGCACTGCTGCTGATCTCCGGAGGGGTCCCCAGGCAGCAGGCAGCCTGCCCGCAGGCGCCTTTTCCGGCATGGGCTGCCGGCACAAGGTATTACACCTGCTTTTTCCGAGGAAGCATCTCAGTTTCAAACCAGAAAGGTGTCAGTGTGTGGCCAGCACGTGGTTTAACACTTCATGGTATTTCCTAGAAGCTCTTGGTTGCATTTAAACTCTTAATTCCCATCTGCCCTCCTGTACCTCCCACCTCTTTTTTCTCTAATGGTGATACTGATGTGAAGGGTTAACCGATGCAAGGAAGTTAGGGTTAAGGAATGATTTATTAGGGGCTGCAGCTGCTTGCTTAACATTTATTGTGCTTGCCAAAGCAGTATGGGAGGATGCAAGGCTATTGATAAAGAGGAAGGAACCTTAAGTTGGTTCCTGCTTTCTGGACCCCTAAACCGGCTGAAACCAGCTTTGCAGTTTGGACGGTGACCAACCAACCAGGGAGCATACACAACGACTACAGGTGAAAAGTTCAGGCCTGAGAAAGACTCGTTTACTTCATCTTGAGACCCTTGCCCATGACCACCAGGAGGCACTGCGCAAGCACAAAGGACCTTTCAGCTCATTATAATACAAAGCAGGGATAGGACATGAATATGTATAGATATATTGTGTAACCTAATGCATATGGAGTATTTTAGAGGATAAACATAGAGGAGAACAATGCTGGGATGTGCATGCCTTTGGAGGAGCAATCCCCCATGCGCCTCAGCACTGAATAGAGCATACCTACTTCACAACTTTAACGAGCTGTGGAGTCTATCCGCATATCAAAACCATTACCCTGTTTTTATGCCTACTGAAGTTGGTAGATAGGAATCCAGCATAAACTTCGGGTAAAATCAGACATGCTTCTTCAGGTGACCTAAAGAGGAGTTGCAGGTTTTGACACTAGAATTGCCTTTGATGGTAGGTGCTAGGGTCCACCCAGACTCACTGGCTCCTCACTTAAGGCACTTAGTGCCTTAGCGGTCTGCCCAACCTGTGGCCCAGGGCGCCACGTAAGCCTCCCAGGGCCTGCAATACTGCAGCAGGGCTGATCTCCAGCCCTGCCACTGCCTGAAGGGTGACCTGGCCCATGGGTGCACAGAGGTCACAACCATGGGTTTGCAGGAGTCTGTAAAACACAAGGATGTGAGGGTTTCTTCATCTAAATTTCTCTATTACAGTTTACCACAAAATAATCACTGCTAGCAACTGTGCTACCAGAAAAATCACCAGTAGTACCTATGATTAATAATGCAAATATATATGTATCTCAAGCTATTACACATCACTATCAGCAGCTGGTAATAGCAGTAGTCAGTCATGTAGCAACATTCAACAACTTGGAGTGAGAGCAAGTTTTGTCTAAAGATTTTAATGCAGGCGTTCATATATGTTTACTTTGTGACAAAGCTTGAGGGGAAATCAGATTGAATCTATTTTAACTATAAAGTTCAGAAAATGAAGCTTCATTGTTACTTCACTATTACTTGTTACTTTATTGTTACAATGTTAGTTCTCCCCCCCCCCGCTTTTTCATTTTGATCTATATATAATATTTCATTTTGCGTATATATATAAAAAAAATATTTACGAATACATGTCATGATGTGTTGTCCTCAGTGGATTAAGCCTGGTCATATTAACTGGTTTGTTTTATAGTGAGGAAATGGCTCATGTGTAGAAGGGATGACTCATCAAACTGCCCATGATCTCCCCTCTGCAAGAGCCATTCTGATACTAGCAGCGCATAACACCTAGCTCAGCCCATCCCCGATCTTGATGGGCCCCTCCAGCTCTGAAAGGCCTTGAATCACAGACTCAATTAGGTTGGAAAAGACCTCTAAGATCATCAAGTCCATCTGTTACCCCAGGAGTGCCAAGTTCATCACTAAACCATGTCACTGGGGGCCTCATCTACACATTTTTGAACACTTCCAGGATTCCACCACTGCCCTGGGCAGCCTGTTCCAATGCCTGATCACCCTCTCTGTGCGGATTTTTTTTTTTAAGATCCAGTCTAAACCTTCCCTGGTGCAGCTGGAGGCCATTGCCTCTTGTCCTGTCACTTGTTACCTGGGAAAAGAAACTGACGCCCACCTCACTACAACCTCTTTCAGGTAATTGTAGATAGCGGAAGGGTCCATCCCCCCCGAGCCTTCTCCAGACTAAACAACCCCAGTTCCCTCAGTCGTTTCTCATAAAACTTGTGCTCCAGGCCCTTCACCAGCTTCGTTGCCCTTCTCTAGACCTGCTTCAGCAGCTTTTAGTTTCTTGTAGTGAGGAGCCCAGAACTGAGCACAGGATTCAAGGTGCAGCCTCACTAGTGCTGAGTACAGGGGGATGATCACTGCCCTTGCCCTGCTGCCACGCTATTTCTGATACAGGCCAGGATGCCATTGGACTTGTTGGCTGCATGCTCACACGCTGGCTCATGTTCAGCCATTAATCAGCACCCCCAGGTCCTTTTCTGCCAAGCAGCTTTCCAGCCACTCTTCCCCAGGCTGCAGCTTTGCATGGGGTGGTTGTGGCCCAAGTGCAGGACCTGGCAGTTTGCCTTGTTGAACCTCATACCATTGGCCACAGCCCATCAATGCAGTCTGTACAGATCCCTCTGCAGAGCCTCTGCATCCTCCAGCAGATCAACACTCCCACCCAACTTGGTGTCATCTCCAAATTTACTGATCTCCTCCCACCAACTCTTGACACTGACATTGGTAAATTGTGACACCATTTACCACCACTCTTCGGGCTCTGCTATCCAGCCAGTCTCCAACCCGGTGAAGACTCCACCTATCCAGGCCATGAGCAGCCATGAGACACTAATGTGATTTGTTCACCTTCTCCTCTTTTCCAGAATCATACAGCTCTCAGCTGTCAAGGCATCAGGGTCGCCAGGATTCACTAGATTCAGAGCAGCTTCTGTTTGTCCTTCAAACTTCCATGGAAAATTTAGGGCATCCCTGACAGCAACAGTCACTTGGCTGCAGGACACAGTCCGATAACTCACTCCGGTATTTGGCTGGATTTGATGTGGCAATAAACAACATTTCCGGCTGCCATAGCCTCCCCTGGAACCCCACTGCGTGAAAACGCTTCCGCGCACCGACTTGTCGGCACCCCTCCCGCTTTGATCCCTCCGCAGACTCACTCTCAGACGTCCCCGAATCCCTCCGCGCCTCCCGAGCCCTACCACTCCAGGCCAGCGAGGGCGGCAAAGGCAGGTGAAGCTACCAATCACGGTGGGCAGGGCCTGCCGGCGCCGGGTTGTCTACCCAATGAGCGCTTCGGGGGGCGTTGCCACCGAAGGAAGTACGGCGCGGCGTGGTGGGAGGTGTGTGGGGGCGGCCGCCATGGCTGACGAGATCAGCAAGGCGCAGGTTGCTCGGCCCGGTGGTGATACCATCTTCGGGAAGATCATCCGCAAGGAGATCCCCGCCAATATCATCTATGAGGACGAGCAGGTGCGGGTGGGGTGCGGCCGCCAGGCACACCGGGTGCCGATGAGGAGGAAGGCAGCGGCGCGGGCGGGCGGGACGGACGGGACCTTTCGGCGCCCTTTTCGCAGTGCCCCGAAGCATCGGGCTCTTTCGATGCGCGGCTCGGCCGGGCGTGCTGCAGGCCCCAGCCCGCTGTGTCAGCGGCCTCTGTGCGGAGAGCTGGCCGCAGGTTCTCGCCCGCAGCTTTACGGCATTGCCGGCCGCGCAGGCTTCATTGCCAAGGGACCGGGCTTCTCTCACACGGTGTGGGAAGGTAGTGGTGCGACCCTGGATTAACCACCCGCCGGCAATCTCTATGTGGATTCTGGGCCTGTCTCCAAGCAGTGCGCTGTAGCCAGTCGCTTTCGCAAGTCAGAGGCACAGGTCTTGATGTGCACCTTTCAATAGCGGTGTGGAGATCATACATCTCTGCCTGCCACGCTTTGGTTATGAGTACCCAAGAGGGGTTATTAAGGGAAAGAATTAGAGACAGTTACGGCTTTTTTGCTGTTCACAAAAGCTTGGGAATGGTCATCCTACAGGCTGCAAAAAATGGATCTTTGTGGTGAGGTGGGACTGGTAACATTCATTCAGTGATGCTGGAGTGATTCAGCGTGTTAAGTGAAGTAATCTTACTAGTTTATGAAAAAGTGTAGCTGTTATCTGCAAGACAAACTACTGTAGTATCCAGTGTAGCCCCCCCCCCCCCCCCCCCCCCCCTTAAAATACTGAACATTAGATGGGCTTTTTTTAAATAAAGGATTATCTGCAGTCTGGAGTACAGACTAAAGGTGCTGTTTGTGATTTGTGTGCTGAAAAATTATGCTTAGCTTGGAACAGCGCTTTCTTAATAGATACAGAAAAGTTGCAGCTACAGTCTACTTTCAAGAATATTGGAAAATTTCACTGATTTTCTGTCATGCTTGTTATGGGTCAAAACTGCATGAGGATTATTCTCAGCTCTAATGGGTATAGCAGTGTAACCTGAGTGCTGTGCTTGATTGAGAATCAGGCCATTGATTGATTTGAGAGCATATAACCTGCTCTTCACTGCCATTAGTGCAGAATATTTCTTGAAAGAGTAATTATCTGCAGTATCTCAATTGCTTTTTACCTTAAACTACACAGAAATGTGGAACTTCTTTTAATAATGTCTGATCTTTGATTTGTCTTGTTGGCTTTATGAAAATCTACTTGGAGATGGCTGGAAGTGTTACAAGGAGAAATATAAGAAAGACTTTTAATCATTAATTGACATGCAGAGAAAA